CGGAGTATCAGATGCACTTTCTGTCAATTAAAGGCTCGGAAGTGCTAAATATGTACGTCGGTCAGAGCGAGAAGAACGTAAGGCAAAGTATGTATTGCTTAGAAGAAACATAGGGCTGTGATAAAAATATATAACAAAGAATTAATTATTTGCTTTAGTTAAGTTGCAAATTAACACATTATTTTCGTTGTTTCTATAGTTTTCAAGCGTGCGCGATCTGCGGCCCCTTGCATCGTCTTTTTCGATGAGCTGGACTCGTTGGCGCCCAACCGAGGTAGAAGCGGAGACAGCGGCGGCGTAATGGATCGCGTGGTTTCCCAGTTACTGGCCGAGATGGACGGCCTCGAAGAGTCTGGCAGTATATTTATCATAGGAGCCACGAACAGGCCCGATCTTATAGATCCCGCGCTGCTCCGACCGGGAAGATTCGACAAAATGCTCTATGTCGGGATCCATTCCGACCGCGCATCCAAGTTCAGCGTGTTGGAGGCACAGACACGTAAATTCATGTTTCAAGAAAACGGACGGGAGTTGGAACGGATCACGGAACAATTGCCCAATAATGTCACTGGTGCGGATTTGTACTCGGTCACTTCCAACGCGTGGCTTAATGCCGTACGCGAGGTACTTGCAAAGCATCAGGAAACTGAGATAATCAATAAGGATTATTCCGTCGAAGAGGAAGGTGTAATTAAGGATAATGTTATCGTGGAATTGCGCCATTTTTCGGATGCTATTCATAACTTGGTACCTTCAGTCACTGATGAAGAAATCAAAAGATATAATAGAATGCAAGTAGATCATTGTTAGTTATCATCGTTGTAATTCCGGAATCGTTTTCCAATATAGTATAAAATAGTATTTTTATCTCACGGTTTTCGAGATTTTAAATGATGATTTCTCTGATGAAAATTTTTTTTTAGAATTTTTATCAATTAGAACACTTTTTAGAAATACTAAAAAAGATTACATTTTTTCTTAAAATTTTTCATATATGTAAACTCTGAAAACCTATTCTAAAATTTCTTACAGTCTATAATTAAAAAGAAAGCTTAAACTTTTTCAGGTTAAAATTTTATCAGAAATTATAAAATGAGAAATTTTAGAAATCTAGCCTATTCTACAATGTGCTCTTTGTTTCCTGTTTCTTGCTTTTTACCTTTTGCTTTTTCTCTTTTTGCAACCGTTTTATCGACAATTGTATTTTTTGCTACGTGTTTCCGCCGAAGTTCGTTAACTTTTATCTCAGGCGACATAAAAACCGGATAAGAAGCAAAAAGGTAAAATGTAAAAAATAGCAAAAAGCAAGAAACAGGAAACAAAAAGCACATTGTAGAATAGGCTTTAGAATCTTTCAGAATTCACGTGTATGAAGAATTCTAAAAAAGATATAGGCATTCTCGGCATTTTCTGAAAAGCGTTGTAATTTGTATAAAAAATCTGAAATTTTATAAAGATTCATAAAATTATTCAAAAATTATAAAAAAAATCTAAAATTTACATAAAAAGTCTAAGAAATTATATGAAAGATTCTGAGAAAAATATTCATCAGAAGAGTAACAGTCAAATTAATTATTATCTGCGGTGATAAGCTTGAATGCGTTTATAATGAATTTTATCATATGCAAAAGTTTTTAATTCTTGTAGATCACAATATGTATACCGAACAACGATACAAATTGTATACCGAATAGAATGTATCTAATGGTTTTCCTGTAAAAAGATACAATTTCGAGAATAAAACAACGCGCGTGTTATAAACGACATGTTATTTTATTTCGAGAAGTATGTAAAACAATTTTTTACAGCGAATAATTAAACCGAAGGAGTCAATTTACACTCGTATGTATTATCTTCGATTGCGTGTCGTGTCAATGGCTGCGTTCAGCAGAACGTTTGTTTTGCAACTGTTGGAAGTTTCCTTCGCGCTGATTGGATCATACTTTTAGATCTAGAAGAATGGTCCTATCTCAGCAGACAATCATAAAACGGTTGCAAAACTGTTGAGTCTGCTGAACGCACCCAATGAATATTTCTCTGCGTATTTACGTCAAATCCTCAAATGTTAGCGCGCGATGAGAAACGCAAAAGTATCGGAATCCTTTCATTTTTTCGAGGCACCGCTATGAGATATACCTCGAGCGCTTTTCACGCGCGTTCAATATATTATGCAGTACACGATGACCAGAATATGCAATGTAGAAAAATAGGACACCTAATTTTACCAGATACATCCGTGTGGATGCCAAATCCGAAGTATGAAGGCTAAAAATTCCTCAGAGGTGGAGCGATACCGCGACTGATGCGATTAGGTGCACAATAGAAAGTGAATAAAAGTATCGGGTGCATCGGTTCTCATGTCGCACGAGATCGCACAATAAATTTCGATACTAGCGATTTTCTCGACAATGCTATGGTCATCTCTCGAGTTTACAAGATGAAAATGAGCCCGCTTTTTGTAATAGCGCGATGCTCTGCAAAAGGAATCTTTGTAATAAAGAAAAAATTCAACGAGAGCATGAATATCGTATCTAAATATACCATAATCATACTACACGATGGTTTGTCTTGTTTATGTGTATACGTAATTTTTATGTGTATGGTCTCGTTTATGTGTATATGTATTTCTTTCTTTCTCTCTCTCTCTCTCTCTCTCTCTCTCTCTCTCTCTGCGCGCGCATCAAAAAGATCGTAAAACGCGTTTAACAAGCGGTCACACATTTATAACGTTTTTCAGACGATTACATCGTATACCTTTGGTATCATCGCGAGGTAGTAATTATAACTTTTCGTCGTGCAACTATCGTATAGAACAGACGCAGAACGGTCGCATCGTCGTTTCAGAATTGATCCGCAAAGCCTCCTTGTTGTCGCCACGACGAATGATCGCTTTTGCAAAGCTACGTAGCAGGATCATTATCGCTCTTGCTGTTGATTTGCCCTATCGCAGAACAAAATGATCCCAGATAGCCTAGTTTGTAGAAAGCAGATTTTTTAAATGTCTGCTACACATTATGCCAACAAAATAGCAACAGAATTGTTACAGAATTAGATGTACGTACATACATAATACTGTCGACAGACTGCTAGAAAAAAACATAAAAGAATCAGATAATGTCGACAGGATTTGCTCAGTTTCTGCCAATAATTTGCCTTCACATTATGTCGATAGGCGATGTTAACAGAACACAAGCCTAATGCGGACGCAGTTGATTGCAGACTGTCGTAATTTTCTGCTCGAATCTGCTGACAGTTGCTAAAAGACTGCAGACATTTTGCTATCTGGGTATTATATATTATGCTTGAGAATCTACCTCAAGGCGTAAATTAATTTATAAAGCGATACGCTTGATGTATCTCGTTACGGCGCTATTCACGATTTAACGCGACCGTACAACTTTAACTCGTCATCGCCAAGTACGCCTCGTTATCGTCGTCTGAACACTATTGTAGTTATTCTCGTTTTCGAGTATTTTCCATTATAATCCATAATATATACACTCTTACAGTATATCCGTAACTCTCCGATTGAGTCGCGCGCGAGTGCGTTTCATCTTGAGGTCGTAGAGAGCTGTGAACTTTTACTCGGTACGTCGCTTTTCTGCGTTCGGTTTCGAATTCGATTCCAATTTTTTTTATTTTTTCCTCTCTTCTACATCGATACTCAGCGCGGTGAGAAGCCGACAAGTATCACACACGGTGGATACGGGTAATTTGTATAAGCGCGTGTTGTGAATCGAAAAACGAAAAGCTCGGCATAGATTCGGATCTGGAAGGTGCCAAATCTTGTGCGCATTACTCTCTAAGACTAACGCGTGCCTTGGCGTAGTTCTTTCAACTAGAATCAAAAATCACGAATGTGAACCATTTTATACACTTGAATCGTTATTTTGTTGCTTTTATCCTCTCCGAGGTATCTTGCGTGCATGTAAATCACACAGCGCTAACATGTGTGGAGGACATTATATATAATATACATTAAATAGCGATATACATATATATATATATATGTATATATAACTACTTCAATTTGATGAGGGAACGGTAGATTAGGGATTATAAAATTAGTTGCCAGGCATTTTTCGTACTTTCGATCAGTACTATCGTTATACATTTATACAGTGAAATGATCTAGCGAGAACCGATGCTCTATGTATTGAATTATATCTTAAACGGATATATGTGTGTGCGCGCGTACACACGCACGCACGCACACGCACGCACGCACGCA